TACAGTAGTCTAACCTGCTCGATATGAACGCACATTTCTCAGTTTGCAATAGGAATTTTCAAGCGTCTGACATATTTTTATGTTGTGGAAAGGAGCTCTGGTGACCTCATTAATATAATTATCAAAACTGACATCACTGAACAAAATAATGCCAAGGGTCCCGACTTTCTTTCATGTGAGATAAATATGAACACATTTTCTTTATCTGACTTTTTGGAACAACACAAAATACTTTTATCTTGTCTCTGTTCAGTTCGAAAAAATCAGCAATTACTGTCATCAGTGCAGCTTATTAAATTTTAAATCGAGATGAGCTCATCAGATGAAAATGACAGATAAAAAACTGTTTTTCATCTTCATTATGATAACACCGAGCAGGGTCACGTAAGAGTTAAATACTAAGGGACCGAGGACAAATCCTTGAGGAACCCCTAATTGAATTTTTGTTTCTGCAGATTTCAAACTACCAAGTAAAACATTAAAACTTCTACACTTTGGGTTTGATGAGAATCTGACCTGATAAACCAACTGAATCATAAAGGCTTTGAATTAAAATGTTACCATCAACACTGTTGAAGGAAGCAGAGAGGTCTAAGACTGAAACGCTCGGTGAATCACTGTTGGTTTTTAGGTCATTGATGACTTTAGTAAGAAACATTTCCATGCTATGATGGGTTCGGAAACCAGACTGGTACCTTACTTACTTATTTACTACAAGAGTAAGTAAGTACCGTTTATTTACAACGTGCCTTTCGCAGACAAGTGGTAACAACGCCCTGTACAAAAATTGGAATAAAGTAAATGATAAAATGAAATGCCATAAAGCACAATACAAATACATGTTAACATACTAATAACTAATACCTGTAATATTAGAAATTTTACTGTGGAAGAAAGTAGGAAAATTGTTACATTTTCCTGCTTTTGTTACATTAGATTGTTTTCTGATTTTGTAAATATTTCACAGCTGGATGAGAATAAATGATTGTTAACTAGGAGATATAGGATTATCTGGCTAACTGTATTTCACTGTAGTAGCAAAGAAGTGCATTTTTAAATATATACTTTGTTTTCTTTGTGTATTTTTTAACAATCTTTTCCTTTTTTAGTGTTTCTCTTAAGGTGCTTTGGGTGGACCGCCTATAATAACAGTTCTGACAGGGCAGCAAATATGACTGGGTTTTTTTTTTCTTTTTCTTTTTTTAAGAAATGGCATCAGAGAAAAACTGCTCGTCGTCTCACCACATGATGACAGCACCGTTAATGTGTGCACTTTGAAAATTCACTAACGGCCCTGCTTGCGTTGACGTAGCTTCTGCTGAGATGCTGTTAAACGCGAATAAAGTGGGTCGTGGTATGAAAATACAAAAGCAACATTTAGCACAATATTTCCCCTCTCGACAGCACTGTGCTGAGCCTTGCAGCAGCAGCAGCAGCACCCAGAAGTGAACAAAGCGACCCGGAAGCGGTGGTCCGACCGGAGGCAGAAAGAACATCAACCTTTTATATTATAGCTGTACTCGCAAGACAATATCTGCAATCAGGACACAAGGTATTTGTGCATGTCTTTACATGTTTCCGTTGCTGTGCATTTCTCTAATGAGCGGTAGCCTCTCGGTGCGTGCATTAGCACGAAAATGCAATTTCTCTGCTTTGATTCGTCCAAAAGTTACAGAATGTAGAAAAAAGCAGCCCTAAAAAAAGTGAAATTTGCTTAAGATGGCACAGAGTCTGTCGGGAGATGAGGCGTTGTGCACCGGTTCCGATTTTGACCTTAACGAATCGCTACGGTTATTTTTAATCGGCACTGATGAATCAAGCTTGTCCGTTTCCGTGCTGTGTGTGTGTGTGTGTGTGTGTATGTGTGTGTGTTTTTTTTCCTCCTTGCAGGGCATGGTTGTTGTAGGAAGTGTCAGTTTTTTTAAGAGGTGGGGAGGCCGGGCTATTCAAACCTGCAATTCGCCGTAAACAATCATTCATGCCTCCGACATGATAAACACACCTTTGTGTTGGTCTCCGGCCGCTTCTCATTCCAAACACCCGCCACACGACAACATGTTCATGCTCCTAAAAAATTTGGGGTCTGCAGAATATGGCGTCCCGCCTTATAAAAATAAGGCTGCCATTTTTGTTTCTCTTTTGTCTGGAAATGTTTTAAGAAAACTGTCTGAGAATGTGTCGAGTCGCACCGACGGAGGATCGATCCGGACAATCCTCCGTCGGTGCGAGTCCGGAGCTGCTCCCAGACAGCCGACACGTCCGAAAAAGTCAAAGAAGTTCAAGTTTTGTTTTGTCTTGTTTTTTCACGGCGGTTTTTGTGGAAAAAATTGCAAAAGCGACGTCCACTTATTCGCAGGAATTCAGACAAAAGGAGCAGAGGGGCATCAAGCCCGAGCTAAACGGCGCAGGATCATGCTGATGTGGGTCTTTTTTTTTTTTTTTTTTTTTTAGAAGTGAAGGCATATTGTAGGTGGCATTTAGATGGCAGAGCTGCGTGGATTTGTGTCACTTTTACTCTGTAGGCCTGATTTACACACATCGACTTCTAAGCGTGAGCTGACATCTAGCGAGTTTTTACACTGTTACATTAAAAAAAAAATCGTATTTACCTTTTTAATTAAACTTCTTTTTCAGCTATCTTAAAGCATTTATTTCATTTTATTTTTCAACAAAATAAGAGCCTTAGTTCCAAACTACTATCTTCCACACTTTCCCCCTGCCTTTCAAAGCCTGTCTTAAAGGTGGGCAGATCGATCAAATATTGATAGTATTGACACCAGCGCTGGTATTGGTATAGGATCGATACTAGAGCCACGTGATCGATACTTTATTTATAGCTTCTAAGTTTAGCATGTAGCCCACTGCATTGTGTGAAATAGTGGACATTTTTTAAATGAAAAAATATACATCCAGTATGAAAAATATCTGAACATTTTTGCATTAACTATTTATAGGCTGTAGCATATTTAAACAACAGAAATTGACCCAAAGTGGTTTAGATGATCATTGATGATGATTCATCTCATAAATCACGGCACACTGCTCTCCCCTGCATAAGCCTTCTTTTATAGGGTAAAAGTATAGGTATCTGTATTGGCAATACCGGCCCTGTATTTACTTGGTATCGGATCAGTACCAAAATTTTTAATATCGCAGAGCACTAGCGGTCAGGATCAGACTCAGGTCTTCTATATGAAACCGTTTCAAGGTCAGCTGTTACACATCTTAACTTAACACGAGGGTCATTCAATTGTCCCCACAGTTTTGTTTTGTTTTTTTGTTTTTTCAAACAATCACAACAAACAAACAAAGTGCATTTATCCATCAAAAGCAGCAGATTTAGAAGCCGCTCGTTTAATGCGTACTACATTTGTGCCTGTGGTGCAAACAGTCCGGAGAAGTAAATGCAGCAAATTCTCTGCAACTTTAACCGTCTAAACAGCTGATACGTGGCGTTAACTGAGTACCAGAAATGGTTCTCGACACCTTAAAGTGACATCAAAGTGGATGCAGAGCTAGGTGGATGCGAATGTGATCAGCACAAGGCCTGAAAGAAAATTCAAGCATGACATATGAAACTAGCCACATGCAGCGTGTGGTTAAGGTGTCAGATTTTTCAGCTTCACAGTTTAAGCCTGCCTGTTTGTAAGCATTAACTTACTCTACGTGCAGTTTTAACAACAGTGCTCTGTAAGGGAGCACTTCATTATGTGCATCTTTGAAAAGCGACTAAAATAAATGTCACACACTTCAGGATGGCAGAGCCTCGGTTTAACAACCCATACTTCTGGCCGCCGCCTCCGTCCATGCCAGGCCAGGTAAGTCCGCTCAGCATGTAATTACTGTGATGTTTCCACCTTCCACTGCCATTTGTTTCCATGTGTGAATGTCTTTTCAGCCTTTCAGCACCGGTCCATCACTGTTACGCTGAGAACCGCTCGCGGTTTCTTCTCGCAGATAAGGGGGGTGCCTCAGACTCCTTGGAGTTCGTGGGCACACACGCAGCCCAAATTGATCTCAAGCAGGCCGGACCAAAGAAGCGCAAGTGCTTCCTGAAGACGTTTGCATTACAAACTAGATAGCAGCAGACCGACTAAGTGTAGTCAGTCTGCTGCTGTTACAAAGGAATACTGCTGTTATAACTCAAAGTCAACAGTATGATGACTTCAACCCCCCCCCCCCCAGCTTGGATGAAGTTGCTAGTTCAGACGACCACTTTTAGGAAACAATCCATTCTTAACAACATTACAAACGCAGTGCTTTGTGCTGCAAAATACAGTGAACGTCCAGAATTGATGCTCCTCCTCCATGAGTGGGCTGGATTAAAGCGTTTGGTGGGCGTTACTTTAGCTCACCTCTGTCATAGGTAAAAGCTAATCGTGTGCTGATCCGTGTTTTCTGTCCTGCGATATGTTTTGATGGCATGAATGACATTCACACAAGGCGGCTGTTTTCTGTTGAGCATGACCCGTTAACCCTTTCAGCTGGATAACCTGGTCCTCATTAACAAGATCAAGGAGCAGCTGATGGCTGAGAAGATTCGACCCCTGCACCTGCCACCTACCTCCACCCCTTCTCAGCAGCTGCTGGTTCCCACCTCGTCCCCGGACGGTAGCGCTCAGCACGGTATGCAGGTTCCAAAGCCTCAGCCGCAACAGGTTCCGGGCCACCACCCACAGCCGCAGGGCTCTGGACAGCCGGACATCGCCCTGCACGCTCGTCCCGCCTCCAGTTCTGGACCGGGTACGTTCTTCTGAAATAGTGTTAAATATGTCCAAGTGCTGCCAACTTGTCTCGAACTGGCATGGTGGCCTGATGAGTTTAAGGTAATAATATACAGATTGTGGAGGTAGAGGCCAAATAAAAATCCATAATGAAAAGTGAGTGATGCCTGCACAGCTACTCCAAAACCCACAGTTGCAAATTTATCTTATTTACAGAAATGTGGAAACTGTTTAAAATGATACCCAGCCCTAGAGTAACCTTAATTAACATGAAGTTATTGATGTAATAATTGCTACAGATAGGCCTGGTTTTCTTAAATCAAAACATTTTTAATGTTATTCTCCAGTTTTGCAGGCTAATAGTTGATGTAATGAATTCGTAGACGTGACGTAGAATCAGGCCTGTGCGGATTACGAGACATTTTACTGACTGACACACCATCACCTTATAAATTCCAGATGGAAATATGGATGACAAGTCAGCGGTGAAGGCCAAAGGATTATGGGAGGACTGGCAAATGAGACACCTTAGTGAGCAAACTGGCCGGGTCAACCATCGCTCAGGTACAGCCGTCACGCCATCTGTGAAGCTTGTAGGAGAAATGCAGCAAGGCAGCCAGCCTCTGGTGTGATAACATAAAGAAAACTGTCATGGAAAATTGACACACACATGGTGTTTACTGTGCGGTACACTGGTGTGGTTCTGTAGAGTGTGGTGTTGAATTAGTCATACCTGCTAATGCAGTTTTTCTTCCAACCTTCTCAGGTCTGGCCCCCTCATCTCGACCCGACAGCCACAGCACCTCAGAGGCCCTGACCCCGACGACTCCGACCTCCAGCAGCCAGAACCGCTTGGGTGGCGCCCCTTCTGTGAACATCATCTCTGGACTGGCTAGTGGCCCTGGCATTGACCACATGAAGGCCGGAGGCCTGGCAGGGCTGTTGGGCCCCCCGCCAAAGGCACCTCGGGGAAGAAAGAAGATCAAAGCCGAAAACACATCTGGTCCTCTGCTGGTGGTGCCCTACCCCATCCTGGCTGATCAAGGATGTGTCACCATTGCACCCAAAGAGGGCAAAACCTACAGGTTGGATTCAGAAAGCAGCTCCTATTGTTTTCAGAAGGTTTTTCTGTGCTGATCTTGCAAAGTAAATTGACAGCTTTATGAGGTCTGCAAGCATTGATAGGTATTTTCCTGAGAGAACTTTGAGAATGAGAGAAGCGCTCTATACCGAGGCTTTAATATGAGCACAGCTTTCACCTGAGTAGACAAAAGGTTTACTAAAAAAAAGGTCAGTCAAACATACTCCGAATGACTGAACCCAAAAGAGTCTGAGCACTGGTTGCAATGAGGTAAAGCTAACGGATGGAAGATTTGAACTTGGGTTGACCCTTCCAGAACATCCAGGAGGATGAGTTGGTGTTGGGGAGGAGAGGGGGCTTTGTTTAATAGCAGGTCAGAAAGGCAAGGTGGAAAAAAAACTCCCATGATATTTAAAGAACAGAAACTGATGGTTGGAGAAAGCATGTAGAAAGATCACTGGACAAATGTTGCAATGCTGAAATTGCTAATAAATTGTCAGCTAATATTTACCTCCTCTTGCTACCTGGGAAAACTTTTGATATTTTTTCTTATTTTATGTTAGTTTATGATAACCAGGAGTTTCCAGAGGCTGCAATGAAAGCCAGCTGACAGGCTCGGCAATTTCTCATTAGTGTTCAGATTTTAAGCTTTTATGACAAAGACTTAAAAGCTCAATTTTTTTTTTTATTGTGAGAAAAAACCCCATTTAAGTCAGTCAGCTGGAAGTTTTAGATAATGAAGCTAGTGGCCCCATAGTGTAGTGGTTAACACACCCACCTCAAACACTCTTTTGGAGATTACATCATGGTTGTTCAGTGTAAATAAAATCAGCGAAATCAGATATGCAGAGGTACCTGCTGTGGGAATTCTTTGTGAATAAAGGAGCAGTCAAAAGTGGCTTTTTTCTTAAATTGTAAGGTTAGCAATGCTGGTGTTGTTGGATTTTTAAAATCATGTGTTACTACTTAGTTAATCAACTATAGTTGATTTTCAGTTTTCGTTGCTACTTTTGACATAAAGACACTTTCTTAAATTATTGTTAAAATTATTGAAGTGGTCTGCGTACTGGGGTGGGGAAAAACTGATGTTATGCTACGTTTTCTATTTAGTTGTAGGCAGGCGGATTTTAATCTCTAAAAATTGTTTTGATCTGATCTTTTTTGTCTCTTCTTGTCCCCAAGATGCAAAGTCTGCCCACTTACCTTCTTAACCAAGTCAGAGATGCAGATTCATTCCAAGTCCCACACAGAGGCCAAACCGCACAAGTGTCCCCACTGCTCCAAGACGTTCGCCAACGCCTCTTACCTGTCCCAGCACTTGCGCATTCACCTGGGGATCAAACCCTACCACTGCTCCTACTGCGAGAACTCGTTCCGTCAGCTGTCACACCTGCAGCAGCATACCAGGTTGGTCAAACTGTGAACATGAAGCGTGAGAAATCAAGTTGATCTCAGCTGCCTCTGTGGCTCTACTGTTGCCCATCTCAAATCTGATTGGTCGTCACACATTACTAATATTTAATGTTTAGAATTTACCTGAATACCTGTCATCCCCTTTACAGCTATATCTGTTTTCTCCTTGCTGGAACTCTTTTTATGTTTCACGTATAGACCACGACTGTGACTTATATGCAGTGAAAATCTGCTGCTTTGAATATACTTTGATGTTTCTTTGCAGGAGTTCTCTTGCAGTGGCGTCTGTCATAAAAACATTTTCCCGTCTGCTTCTCTCGCTGCAGAATCCACACCGGCGATAGGCCTTATAAATGCGCCCACCCTGGATGCGAAAAGGCTTTTACCCAGCTGTCTAATCTCCAGGTCAGTCAGAGATTCTTCTTGTGACCTGATCCTGATTAAAAGGTTCAGATGCAAAGCTGCAAATGTTCAAATTACGTGGACTTCTCTACAACCTCTGTCCGTGTCTTCTCTCCCCCACAGTCTCACCAGAGGCAGCACAATAAAGACAAGCCGTATAAATGTCCCAACTGCTACCGTGCCTACTCAGACTCTGCATCGTTGCAGATCCACTTGTCAGCGCATGCCATCAAAAACGCTAAGGCCTACTGCTGTAGCATGTGTGGCCGGGCTTACACCTCAGTAAGTAAACCACAAGCGAGTATTCACTATGTAAGGTTTTCCACACCTGTTTTTTGGCAGCCTGCTTGCATCAATGACATTTGATAATATTTTTTTCTCTCTTGGACTAGAAGTCGGTGTGTTTCCTGTTTGAGATATTTAACACCTTAGTGTGTCCTTGCTTCTGTTCAAATATTCAAAACGGACTAAAAGAATATGTTTAAGCTATAGCTGAGGTCCGGAAGCATTATGTTTTCGCATTGTATGTCTGTCCCGTCCTGATTAATATAAATATGTGTATTTCATCTACTCCTCAATGCACATCCCTCCAGTTTCCTCTAAACCTGTCCAAATAGGTCATCGGGCTGGCCGTTTCTGTGTGATCATTGTTTTTGATAACATAGTCTTATTTAACTTGTATTGTTCTTACCTTTACATAAGTCCATGGCAGTTTCACTTTTCACTTTAAATTCTTGTAAATGATAGCATTAACTAATGTCCCTCAAGCTGGATTATGCTTTGATTAGTTTTGTTTTAACACTAGGAACTGATGAGCCTCTAGGCATTCAAAAACGTCAGGAAAATGACTCAGCTGTGAACTGACAAAATACTTGGCCAAAATAAGGCTCAAAGATTACATAAATCTAACCATAAATCATAAATTCATGGACTAATTCTGATAAAATGTAATTCACATACAGGATACAATGATGACATATCCTTTTCCCTGAAAACTCAAATGTAGGAACAAGTAAATTGACTGGCATATAGTGCTTTTCCACTCTTTTTGAGCACTCTTTACTACAGTTGTCATTCACCCAATCATATAGTGTTTTATTGTGTGCCTAAGCCCATTGTCTAACATTAACATACTCACACGAATATATCAAGGGGAATTCAGGGTTCAGTGTCTTACCCAAGGATACTTTGACATTGACAAATTACTCCTTTGTTTCTGTACACCACTTTGGGCAAACTTTTTGTTTTTAAATGTGCTATATAAATAAATTGGATTTGGATGCAAATTGAAGGAGCCGGGGACCGAACCACTGACCTTCCGATTGGAAGATAACTTGCTCTACATCCTGACCAACAGCTGAGAGCTTGTGATTATATTTGAAGTCTAAGGAGCTTGGAAAGAAAAGCGTCTGGACTTCTTTAAGTTGCTTGAAGATGTTTCACCTCTCATTCGAGAAACTTCTTTAGTTCTATGAGTCAAATGGTGGAGAGTTCGAGTGAGCTCATTGTGAAACTTGGCCCCACCCTATCATGTGATTTCCTGAGGCCAGATTATATTTGAAGTTTGACTGGGTGTTGAAATGCAGGCACTGATCTTTGATATCCTTTACCAGCTATCTTAAGAGCATCTGGGCAAACATAAAGTTGTGGTCAGAAGTTTTCTTTTCTGGGGTGGAAGGATTGTGCAACATATATCTTTAACAACTTTTAAAATCAAGAATTTGGTTTGGTTTGGTTGGTTTCCCGGTACAGACCTGTATTTTAGAAGAGAAGAGAGCTTTATTAATCCATTGGGTAGGTCCCCTAAGGGAAATTAGGGTTCCAGCAGCGCACAAGCTAACCTTAAATACAAATAAGAAACAAAATTGTTTTAAGCGTAGTACACAGATTTTCAGTAGGGTTGAGGTCAAGGCTTTGGGAAAGCCATTCCAGAAGCTACTTTATCCATTCCAAAACCAGCTTTGATTTTTGTTTGGGATCATTGTCCTGTTGGAACACCCAGCTGTGTCCAAGTTTCAAGCATCCAGCTGTTGATTTGAGGCTGAGTTGAAGAATTTGGAGGTATTTTTTCTTCATTATTCCATAGACTTTGTGCATTGTACAAGTACCAGTGGCAGCAAAACAACCCCAGGGCATGATGCTATCACCGCCATGCTTGACAGCTGGCACTCTGTTCTTAGGTTTAAAAGCCTCACCTTAACTCTTCCACACATTCTTCATGTCATTGTGCCCAGATAGTTCAATTGTTGTTTACCAGCTGCAAATTTTCATTGAGCTTGAAGGCATCAAGTTTAAAGAACGAGCTTCTGTCTTGGTCAGCACCGTCTAAGTCCAAGGAAAGTAAACCTTGCTTCATTGTGAACAGTGATGCTGATGTTCCAACAGTTTCCAGTTCATGGCAAGCTTGAGCCTTGGTGGTTCCTGTCTTGTTCTTGAACACCGTAGACAATTTAATCTGATTTGAGAGTGCCCGTTTGGGTCTTCTTCCAGACCTTGGCAAGGTAAGGACAGAGCCAAATTATTTGTACTTATGTACAGTTGTTTCAAATGATGATTCTGGACTGCATTTGGTTAGAATTGGCCCATTAAGCCTCTGGAATGGCGTTCCCAAAGACCTTACCTCAACCCTATTGAAAATCTGTGGACTATGCTGAAATGCTGGGTTTGTGCCAGGAAACCAACTCATTTAAATGAACTCTGAGTGTGCAAATATTCAGCCAGCATTATGCCAAAAGGATCTGGTCAAGGAGCAATTTTCCAAGGGAGATTTCATTAAATATTAGTGGGGGTGTGTGTATCCTTTTGACCACAAATGTCAATATCTACTTCAGCTGAACTAGTTGGAGTAGAGGCACTTTTAAAATTACTGTAGCAGTAATCTTTATGCCCTTTGGTGTGTTTTCCTGTTCTTGTAGGAGACCTATCTTATGAAGCACATGTCCAAACACACGGTGGTGGAGCACCTGGTGAGTCACCAGTCGCCCCAGAGGACAGAGTCCCCCAGCATCCCCATACGCATCTCCCTCATCTGAGCTCCGCGAGCGTTCAGCATCAAGATTCAGAGTCAGCGTTCGGCTGGAGCTTGTGAGGCCCTGCACCCACGGCCATCTACATAAGGCTTACATTAGCATTATGACAGCTGACATGAGCATTCACTGTTAGATTTTGTAAGCAGACTTGCCTCCATCCGTCTCGACACAGGCCGTCTATCATAAAGGAGCACAGCGTTATTTTGTGAATGTAAAAATACAGCCAGATATTGTCCAGGGGATCGAGTGGCAAAGAATGTCTTGCGTCAGATTTAATAAGCACTTTCGTAAGCATCATGTAAACCGCCGGATGCATTGGCCATTAAAAAAATGTTTTAGTTGTCTTGTTTTTGTTTTTATTCTCTTCCATGAAATGGGTTTTCAAAACGTGCCAGATGATATTTGCCCGAATATTAAATTGAAAAAGCAGGGGGAAAAAAGAAAAAGTTTGCTGGGTGTATTCTGGAGACATCCAAAGATAATCTTAACGCACTTTTAGGCCTTGTGGTTTTGGTCAAATTGTTTCAATCTCGTTGGATGGAAAATGCCAAATGGCATTACTCGTGGCAGCTAAGAGTACCGACTGTGTACAAAAAACAGTCTCTTTTTTTTTTTTTATGTTTTGTTTTTTTTTTGTGCAAACACAGGGTCATCAAAATTTAAAGAAAAGCAATCGGTAGATGACAATTGAAATATTTAATGATTGTATTAAGAAGTTGGATAATTGGCTCGTGGAGACAAAGCAGAGCTCGATGGAAGGGAAGGAAGTTTTTTTTTTTTTGTAGCTATTATTTTCAAAAAATGTTCACTCCATATTTAACATTCACCTTTATGGCACCTTTATGATCATAACGTATGATCAAAAAACACTGCTTTTTTTTCTGGTGTGTTTCTCGTTCCACTAGTTAGTGCCATATAATGAACTTTGGTGAGGTTTGAAGCGAAAGCAAATCTTGTAAAAGTGTTTGTCCGCTTTCCCCGCTCCATTAATCTTTGACTTATACTTTCAAAGAATTACAAGTATATGTTGCACATGTATCAGTGCCAGCTCTACTCTACTCAGCCCACTTTTTCAAAATATGCTTCAGCTTAAATTAATTTTTACTTGAGCAGTAAATTTTAAAGCTAAACATTGGACCAAAATGTGAAGTTATTGTACAGCTACTCCAACCCAGTAACTTTTTTTTTAGCCTCTAATAAGCTTTACCTACTTGGAATAAACTGCAGTATGATTCATATTCAATAGGCCTATTTTATGAGTTTACGCAGGGGTGGATCTTCTCCGTTTGTTTTTGTTTCTCTCTCTCTCTCTCTTTAATATTCTTTTTATTGTACACAGTATTGTTTGTTGTATTTTTACTGTACCTGTAACCTCTGAATGGTACTAATAGGGTACCCTGTATTCTTCAGGGCACTTCAGAAAAGGTGCTACGGCTAGACGTTACATTTGAGATGGAACTGAGAATAATGTAAAATACATATACAGTATATAGTATGTTTTCAAAAGAATAAAAGCTTATTACTCAAGCCACTGGCCTGAAAACAGACATTTACGCCAACAACAGACCCTGCCTCTTCAACTTGCTCTCTCTCTTTTGAGATAATGGGAAAATGTACATGTTGCTGTACTGTAAAACATGTTACTCATTTATAGTACCTATTTTTAAGTTTTCATAAACATGTTTTCTTTGGGTTTTTTGTAAAGGTTTATGTAAGAGCTTACTGTAATTATTTTAGTCTACCTGTATGTTATTAATATTCATGTTTTATATCAGTTATTTACATGTAAGCCTTAACTGTTTTACCATCCCATTTCCATTACTCTGTATTGTGTTCTGCAGTATTCAGTCGTGTAAAACATTTTATTTTTTTTTTCCTTCCGCATGGAGTTCCTGAGCTGTAATCTGTATAACTGTTTAACCCACGTTCTCTATGAAATGATATTGCGTAGATTTATTACACTTTTTCCTGTCTTGCATTGTGGTTTCATATACAGTTTCTAGACAACTAAATATGCACAGCCAAGACTGAGAAGTTAAACTAAGGTTATCAGTGTTTAAAAAGGAAAAAAAAAGGAAAAAAAGCTTTGTATCTTTACCTTGTTTAATAAACAGACTGTTATAAATCAATCACCGATTTTGTGATTTTTTTTTTTTTTTTAAAGATTCAAGATCCTTTATTTGTCACATGCATAGATATACGAGTACAACACGCATTGAAATGTGTCCCTACACGCTCCTCGACTGTGCAAAAAGAGAGAGAACATTATGTACATTAAGTGGATTAAATAAAATAAAACAATCTGGAAATTTTTTAATTGAAAATCTGAAAATGTACATTGTGTGAGTGGGTGTTAAAGTGTCTAGTGCTGTAGTGAAGCTGAGAAGAATGAGGCTGGGATGTGTCACTTATGGATGCTGTGCCTGAGGATAGAAGCTCCTCTCGAGCGTCTCTGTTCTTGCCCGGATGGTGCGAAACCTGCCTGATTGCAGAAGTTGGAATAGTTTGTTGCCGGGACAGGACGGATTCTCCAATATCTGAGCTGCTCTAAACCAGCATCTCCTGGTGTAGATGTCCTGTAGGGAGGGGAGAGCAGCCCTGCTGCAGCGTTCTGCCGTGCGGATCACTCTCTGAAGAGCTTTTTGATCCTTAACACAGCTGTTCCCGTACCAGGATGCGATGTTCTGTGTAAGGATGCTCTCCACAGCGCCTGCATAGAAAGTCTTGAGGATCACTGGAGAGACCCGGAACTTCCTCAGTTGTCGGAGGTGGTACAGGCCGTGCCTAGCCTTTTTTGGACTGGACCTGAATGTGTGCAGACCATGTCAGGTCTGAGGAGAAGGACCACACCCTCTCCACTGGATAAAAAGTGCCTGCTTTGAAAAGTGACATATAGGTAATAAAACACACATCATCATTTCTTTAATTGTTACTTATGCAAAATATGTATTTATTGCCATCTCAAAGTGCTAAGGCACAAGAGCACTGCTAGGGTTAACTTTAACCACTACTGCGTTACTGCTTTCATCTTCATTCCACAAATGTAAACACAAGCAAAACTTCTTATAAAGTGCTCGGTTTAAACTAGCATTACTCAAATATTCCTCAAGAAAACACATTCACATCATTACTGTGAAATTCACAATGCATGTAAAAACAGTAGCTGCAGTTCAAAGAAAAGCCTGCTAATACATACAACATAGGCATCCCTGGGCACAACTGTAGTGGAATCTCCCTTTCATTATTACTCTTTCTTTTTATCGAGAATCATTATGCAGTCATGAAAGAAAAAACGTTTTCACACAATTTAGTGGTGTGTAGTAGCAGCAATAACATGACATAATGGTTTTCTGTATGACGTTATCTGTGTCTAAGATCATTCTGGGGGAATTTCACCCCGCTCTTTACAGCAATGCTTCAGTTCATTGAGGTTTCGTGATGCCAAGCTGAGGTCAGAGGTGAAAGAGCAGACAACAGTAACTCAAAGAATCCACTTGTTACAACCAAGGTATGCAGAAGAGCATCTCTGAATGCACAATGAACCTGGAAGCAGATTGGCTACAGCTGCAGAAGACCACGCTGGGTGACACTCCTGTCAGCTAAGAACAGGAAACAGGCTGCAATTCACACGGGCTCGCCAAACTCAAGGATCATGTGAAAACGAAAGTCTTCGCATGACTCAGTAGCTTGTAGTACTACTTTTAGCAGCAATATCTTGAAGTAATCGTTTTATGTATTGCTTTATCAGTCGTTCACATCATTGTGGGGGAATTCTGGCACACTTTTCTTTGCAGTGTTGCTTTAGTTCATTGAGGTTTGTGGGTATTTAGTTTTGCAAAATTTTCTTAAGGTCACACCACTGGGGCATTGCAACACAATAATTCTTTTCTTTTTCGGCCACCGTGTTGTCAATTTGTGGGCGTGCTTGCATCATTGTCACCTTACAGACTATCTGCAAGGTTCCCAGGTCTGGTGACTGCAACATCAAAGCCCAAATCCTCACTCCTCCACCACCGTGCTTAACAGTTGGTACGAGGTGTTTGTGCTGATGCTGTGCTTGGTTTTCCCCAAACTTTGGGTTGTGCATTATGTCCCCACTTTAGTCTTATCTCGCCAAAGGACATAGTTCAAAAAGTCCAAACGTGGTTCAGATGCAACACTGCAAACCTGCCATGTTCTTTTTAAGAGGTCAGACACTTTCCACTCTTCCAAACAAGCCATACTTGTTCAGTCTTTTTCTAATTGTGGTCTCACAAAGTTGAGGTCTGTAGAGTCTCAGATGTAGCTCTTGGGGTTGTTTTTTTTTTTGCCAATTCATGATATAGTCTGACCTTGCAGTGAATTTGCTGGTACTTCCACTTCTAGAAAGATTGGCAGCAGTCTTGAATGTTTCCACAGCTGAATAATGTCTGTCACCGTAGAGTGATGGACTTCAATTCCACTGTTGCCTCTCTAAAACATAGCAACAGTTGCTTTTAGAGCTGTCCTCTTGGCTCTAAATAAAAGTGTGCATTGTTGCATAGAACAAAACTCTGTTTTCAAACCAAGTTCATTGTTTTCTTAACAATAAAAGAACGTTACACAATACAGGCCAAATACTTAACCAGTATAATATAAATCATAACTGGTTTAATGTTCTGACTGTTGAGCTATGGTTCATAGCGCAACATCGCCACCTACTGCTGTGGGGATGAAAGTTCAGAAATGGGTGACAGCAGAGGAGAGTGCTCACTTAGTGTCGTGTTAAAAACATTGCCATCCAAAGAATCTGCCAAAACCAAAGCCTAAAAAAAAGTTGATGATGATTAGCTAGTCCAAACGTCATCAACAGAACAGGGAGAGCAAATCAAAAAGGGCTGATCATAACATTCACAGGAAAAATACACTGGATGGTCATGCTCCTTGATTAATCCACTTTTATTTAGAGCCCAGAGGACAGCTCTAAAAGCCATTGTTAGGCCAGCAACCCTCCAGACTTTCCTGAAGCAGTAAAAATCTATTTTACTCCAAATTTATACAAATCTGTTGGGGAAAATATGTCTTTGTTATAACTTCCACAAACTGCAGGCCTGGGGAAGTGCTGGGACTTGTTTAGGTGCAACCTTTCAATCCATAGCTGTGTTGTTATGTTTTGTTTTAGAGGGGTTTTTTTTAGAGAGAGAAGAAACTTTTCTCTTGGCAGCGCTTTTAAACTTCCAAATAATCCGCCATACTTGTTCAGTCTTTTTCTAATTGTGCTGTCATGAACTTCAACTTTTAAAGTCTTTTTTGTGGCCTGTAGAGTCTCAGATGTAGCTCTTGGGTTTTGTGGGATTTCCCTAAGCATTGCATGGTTTGACCTTGGGGTGAATTTTGCTGGAATGTCCACTCCTGAGAATATTGTGGCATTGTGTTAACATTGTGTGCATGCAGCTGAATGCTGCCAGAACTTCAGCTTTTATAGAGCTATCATAGTTGTTCATGGATCTCTTAAATCAAGTGCATTTGATAGGCAACACCTGGCCCTACTTATCAACATCCGGACTGGGTCACAGTCAGATCCACTGCCATTACAATTGGGAGACTACCCGCTCTCCCACCTGAGCCCCACGGTAAATTAATAAGGCCCCACTCACTCAGGCGATGGATAAATCTATATGCCCAGCCTGGCTGACGATGGTTACCAGATGGCAGTTGCAAGTTGAAATTAGTCACAAAGAGGTATCTGTAAAATCTCCTTGACATTACTTTGGTCGCTAGCAGATTGCTGCAGTCGCCCAAATTTTGCACAGAAGATGATAACTTGTCTACAAACACTCTGCAACAACTCTGCTCTCTCCCTGTGAATCTTTGGAGAGGGACACCACTTGCCTTCAAATTAAAAATGTCACCTTTTGAAAAGTGTTGGCTGATGGGCCGAGGCACTACTTTTGCTTTGAAGCTGAACAGTCTCTGTTTTGTTGGCTGTTTTGTGTTTTATGGCTTTAAAAATGTACTGAATAGTTATGTGGTTATATACCACAGGCTATCATATATGTGTGCAAAATTAAAATGTTTGTAAAACATTAATCACTCAGAGACATCCTTACTTAAAAACTAGATTCGAATGTCTAAACCGGGGATGTCAAACTCATTTTACATTCTGGGCCACATACAATCCACTTTGATCCAGTTCAATTCAATTTCATTTATATAATCATAACTGAAATATCTTAGTACATTTTAAAAGATGTGCAATTCCAACTGTACGTCTCAGTTTTTCTACATGATAAAGATATTCTGCTGTAAAAAGGAAAGAAATTGGTCTGCACGACTCTTTGGGTTGAAGTTGTAATAAATAAATGTGCACACTTGCAGGAAAGGCTCTGGTAGCTAACTGCCCAGAAAACAAATTTCTGCTAAGTCCCAAGAATTTGTTTCTTGCTAAAATGAAAAACTGAAATTTATATAGTAGTTAGTGAAAAAAAATTCTGTCAAACTTAATTGCTGTTCTATTACTTAATTACTTTTGTGTAGTATGAATGTAGAAAAGATGTCAAACTTAAGAAAATATAGTTTAAAGTTCAAAACTGATCCCTTCCTTCACATTTTCCAAACTCATGCCGTGGGCTGGATTGGAGTCAGTTTTGGCCTTATGTTTGACACCCTTGCTCTAAACAGTGTTTTCATATTAATATAAGTGCCTGAACAGTCTATGCCATTTGTTTTATCGCGCCCAAGTCAGTCTCTACTGGCTATGTTGCAGCTGAGTGTTTATTTTTCATGTCTACACCAACATGAATGAGTGAGGTAGGGCAGCACGTACACCGGAGAGCACTTTAAGTGGTCTGTTTACTGAAAAAATCTTTTCATGTGGTTTTATGTGTCTCCACTGCATATAGGCGGGTCTCACTTGAGACTTTTTTTGGATGGTGACGAGTCAGGGCAAAAGGGAGCTCTGTGCTGCAGAGAGGAAATAGGCGTTCACCCTGGAAACTTTGGGAGTAAGTGACCAAAATAAAGGGGGTGTGGCTAAGCGAGAAAAGAGTGGACCACCAAGAGGGGCTACTATAGTGTAGAGCGGGGAAGCTGCTGCTAAGCTGCTGAGATCTAAGTGAATAAGCCACATCCAGGGTAAGTAGAGCTTTCTTTGAATTTTGATGCAACTTCTCTAAATATCTTGTTAAATCATGTAATTTAACAAGGTACCAACAACATAACATTACATCACATTTAACAATTTGTAG